TGACATTGGGACTTACCAACTGTGGGTGTGGTGCAAGCTCTGAAAAGTTCCATGTGCCACTGGCATCAACAACATAGGGAGAGCCAAAATTGGGAGTGGCTGTACCAGTGTGGCTCTGGCCTGGTGTATCCTCACTGACCAGATTGCCCTTTTATGCTGCACAGTCCTTATAGAAGCTGAAGACGCTCCTTGCTGCTATGGTTTTGGAGTCATTGAGATAAATTGTGCTTGACTGTAATACCCACATAGATTATAAGTGGTTATTAAAAAGTTTGTTATTAAATGAGGCTGTTAATTTTGTATATTTGAAGTCAGCCAACAAACTTTTAAATACAGAATTTATATCTTAAATTAATGTCATTTCTAATAGTAGAAAGTCTAGATAGAGAACACCTATTAATTCGTTCAGTTTGTCTCCCTGCCAATGCAGGATGGTTACCTAACATATGTGTTCTCGTGGGCTCTTTTTTTTTTTTTTTTTCCCCTTCTTGATTTTTCAAAGGTCCCAACCAGTGGGGCTTCTACTTATTCCCTTATGCAGGCAAATTCATTTAATCGTCTGAATGTGATTCCTCCAATTCAACTTAATTTCTCCCCCTTCCTCTCCTTCCCGTTTCTTAATTTTAATCCCATGACTCTTGTACCACAGTCTACCTCGCTGAGTAATTCCTTTCCTTCCTTGGATGCTTGTTGGACTGTTACGACCTTACCTTATCTGTCATCCCCCTATTTCACTAGTGACTTTTGTTGCTCTTTGTTTCCTCAAATTTCTCTGTCTTTCTGGTAATATAGTTGCCAGACATGAATGCAGTTTTACGGGTGCAGGTGTATTAGAATCATAGAGAGGAGGATTATTGCTTTGCTGCTATATGCCTTGTTATGTCTGTGTTTTTCAGGCCTACCCTGCATGGGCCTTTTTACAGCTATAACACATTGCAAACTAATGTCTAACATGTTTTCTAGTATGATTTCCTATGTCTCTTTTTAGCATTATTGCTTTCTAGGTTTCTCAGTCCAAATAAGTATGTGTTCTCTGGAATATTTCTCTCACTTTGCATTATTTCAAGATTAATCTAATTTTGTTGTGTTCTTTCTGTATTTCTAATCTTTCTAGGTTCTTTTATATTATTCGTCTGTCTTCACTGCTTTTGCAAGGACAAAGAAATAATACAAAGGAAACTAGATACACTATACTGTAAAGTATGATATTAACATGTCTTTATCCAGCACTAAATGCTGGACACATTAAATAGCATCTAAACAACAGTAAGAATAACTTCATACATTGGTTATCAGTCAGTTATTGGTTACCCAGTTGATGTTCCATGAGACTTTCAGGACAGAGTCACTGGTGTGTACACAACACAAAGGGAAGTTATGTCTAGGCCCTCTTCTTTTCCAAATGAGTGTTAAAACTGAGTAAATGAAAGCTTCAAATTAGAGAAGTCTCCTCATATTTTCAGAGTTGTAGTGGTGGGAAAAATAATCCTTGGGTAAGAGTGTACAGAATTAAAAGAATCCCTGAGAACCAGGCTGTGATGGGGACAAGGGATGGTGAGAAAGAATCAATTCCAAAATGCCTGGCTCTGAAGTCATGGCAAAAAGGAATTGCCAACATTAGAACAGTGATGTGAGAAGAGGAGAATAGATATGAAAGTGGAGAGGAAGAAGAGTGAAAGACTGATACATGATGACCCCTCTCCCAACTTTCACCCCTGATATTAGTTATATTTTATAATATACAGTGGTATGTTTCGTTACAGAGATACTTTATATTCATAAGAATTGGCCCTTCTTTCAGTAGATAGTTTTCTGAAGCTACTGTGAAATTACCAAATCATGAAGGTATTGATATGCACCAAATACGCCAGTTATCTCACTTACACATAGAATAATTTTTAGGTGGCTGATTAGGTTTAATCCTAAACAGACCCTATTTAATGTGTTACTTTATGTTAAAATAAGGTAATAGAAATATTTCTATGTCCGTGGAGCTATGCAAGTATGATACTTTAAATTATATATAAATGCATGGGCTTGGGAACGGCAGAATCTGAGGTCAGATTATCTTTACATCTCTGCTTTTGTAAGAGATGAAGAAAGGAAAGATGAATATATTTACAAGGCCAAAATAACTGATGACCAGATGGCTCGGGAATTGGTAATAGAATTTGGAGCCTCTCATCTCTGCATTGTTGGCTTGGGTCTGTACCAGGCTGGTAATGATCAGAAGTCATTGCCATCTATTAACTCCTTTTGGTGATCTGTGAAATTAATGGGAGGTCTCAGTCGAGCTCTTAATAGACAGGAGTCCATTCATCATTCACACTAAGTGGCTCCCTTCTTGGCAGTGAGCAGAGGTGCAAAGGCACAGATAACAACCTACTCTCTTACTCATCCCGGCTGATTTTCCAGTCAATGTTGGAGCATATGTTACTCAAAAATTATCCCTTTGATCAATTAAAATATACCACTGATGTGTCCTAGAAAACATCATGTACAGTTCTTGCCTGCAAAGTCCAGGACACCGAGGCAAGGTCTTCAGTTGGAGGGGTGAGATGGGGGAAGGGTTGTAGGGAAGATGATTTTGCACTGGGAAATATTTTCATTGATTCCTCTAGAAGATAAGAAGTAAATGGGATAAATGAGACAAAATGGACAGATAAGCAGAATGCTTAAAATGACTTTTTACTATACATTTTATAAAATACCAAAATGTGGAGGAATACATCATGGAGTTTGTTTTTCAAAAGTTATATTCATTGCTAAGAGTCATCTATAGAGATTAGATTACTGCAATGCACTCTAAATGGGGCTACAGCTTAAATCAACCTGGAAAGAGAAGCAGGTGTAGAACAGGGCAGCCCGTTTAGTAACTGATACATTTTTCAAGCTGTACATAACACCAGTGCTCTAGCTGCTGCACTGGCTTCCTGTTCATTTCTGTGTCGAGTTTAAGGTAGTGAATTTGAACTATAAAGCTTTAAACGGCTTGAGGCCTGACTTTTTGAAATACTGCATCTCTCTCTGTCAGTGAAGGCAGTCAAGCTAGATGGATAAAAGAAAGGGAACTGCTGGTAGGACAACTTCCATGCAAGGCCCTCAACTTCTGAAGTCACTTGGGTCTAAAATAGTCTTCCAGCATGAGATTAGAGACATGCTGCATGTTGTTACTTTTGGGGAGGGGGCATGCAATGGGGGCTGCATTGATGGGCTCAATACAGCATTGGTTGGGGTGGAAATCTGATTGGTTATTCTCCAGTTTGTTTTGAGGAAGCTGTTGGCTTTATCTTTTAAACATGTCAAAGGCACAAAGAGACCACCCTAGTTCGTGTGTAAACAATGAGTTAGAGGTAGTTTCGAGTAGTACACCTGCCCTGGGGTCCCAGTGCCAATTCTTATGGTTTTACTATAACATTTTCTTTTTCTTTCTTTATTTTTAAATCTGCCCCTGCATGAAAGAGCCCCAGGTGAAACTGGTTAAAGCACAAAGTAAATTTTTTTTTTTTAAAAGGAAAATATGTTTTTCTAATCTCTGTCTATTGGTGTACTTAAATGCATTATCACTGTACAATTATACCATTCAGTTACAACAATCGTTTGTGTGTTGCTTGTAATCAATAAAAAACAAACAAAAACAAAACCCCAGAACAAAGCAAATTATTTTTTAGGTCCCTGTAAGTATACTTTGTAACAATTTCTCAGTAAATACCGTATTTTCTTGATGTATACGTACAGAAATCATCAGTATTCTTTATTATGATGCACATACCATAAACCTAGATGATGCTTTACATAAAAATAAAAGGTAATTGGTGAAATCCTGGCCCCATTGAAGTCAATGTCAAAACTCCTATTGATTTCATTGGGCCAAGATTTCACCCCTCGTCTTTTACACTGAGGAATTTATAATCAGCAAGAATGGTATGTCAGTGAATACTACGCAGACATAATGACAAACACTAAATGGGCTATGGAAGGGCTAGGAGGAAGGGAAGGCACAGTACTATGATCAAGTGGTTGTTTGGATTAGTAATGTACATGTTTTAATATACAGATTTTTTTTTTTTAAATCTGCAATTAATTTGAAGGGAAGATTAGTGTAGTTCTGGGGGTAGGCTAGAAGAGGTAGTGTCTTTCCTTTGTTTACATTAGATTTTGATGAAGAATATAGTCAAGAGGATGGGAAAAAATTCCTAAAAACGTATGCCCCTGCACCAACAGTTTTTCCCTTTCTCTTATCTATGAGATTTTAAAACGCATTTTATTTAAAAAAAATTATAAACTTCTGGGCAGTTTTCTTTTGTGACACTATCAAAATGTTACAAGGGAAAAAACTTATTTGCTTCCACTAGGTAGTTAAAATCCAGGTAATTTATTTAATGGAAATGAATGTGTCTTATTTAAAATGTTTGTTGAATACTTTAATAAATTTGTCAATAAAACAACTTAGTGGTACGTTATACAAGAACATTATTGTAAGTTTGAACTTAAAAGTTTTTTTTTCATTTTAATAAAAGGTAGAAAGGGCAGCAGTTTTAATTAGCACAAGTTTCAAAACACACAAACGTGAAATGACAACTGTTGGACAAATCTTTCAAAGCATCATGACATGGCAAAATTTCTTTCCATGTCACTATCCATGAATGTTATAAAGGGTTGATTCAGTCCAAAAGAGCAATAAGCCTTGCAGGTCTAGTGTAAGTGTAACTAATACAGGCTCTGGTAAGGAGTTACCATGCATTACTAATGAGAGAAGCACAGCCAAAAAGTTGTATGCAACATTTCCAGAGCTCCAGAAGCTGAATGTGGCTAGGAAACTTGATGTTTCTTTTGAATTCTCTCCCCTCTTTTTTTTTTTTTTGCCCTGCCTTATTTAAATTTCTCGGATATCTAAATTTATAAAAGATTTATACATTCCAGAGACACATACTTCTAAGATGCCATAATAGTCAAGGCCACCAATTTGGATACATTTCAGACTAAGAAGCTACACTGAAATGAATATTGTGGGAAAACTCAATTTAATGATACCCTGGAGCATATTCTTGGTTCATTCTCTGCTGTTCTCTTTGCAAGGTAAGAACTTTTATGCTCAATTTTTACACTAAAAACCTTTTAGAAAGACTTCTCTTAACAATTTAGTAATACGGTTACTTATTTTTCTTTCATTGTAAAGCAAATATTTCCTACAGCCCATGGCTTAATTAAACAAACAAACAAACCGGTAATACAGACTTAATATATTTACATCACACACTTTTACTGCTTTTGAAACTAAAAACGACTTTGATTTTTTTTTAATTCAGACTTTAATGCTTGAATTTTATACAGAATGATTGGTAAAGAACAAAATTATTTTTCTTGGCTTTCTTGCTTCTCATTATTGTAAAATGTGTTATCAGATTGATGTAGGCTTAATTGTTATGAACAGGATATGGGTTTGCTCAAGATTTGGACTGCACCTGCAGTGTGTCTGAACATTTTTTATAACTCTAGAATAAATATTTGGCAAACTGATTATATAAACTCTCCCAGCTGTTGTCATCACACATGCTAATAATAGATACCATAGAGGGCTTAGAAAAATGATTCTGAGGATAACAGAGGTTTTTCAAGCATTGTAACTTTCACATAGCTTGAAAGTAAAAATATTCTTAAAATGAAAGTAAATCTGCATGAAATCTAGAGAGAGATTTAAACATTGGACTAAAGGTTTATAATTATTATGTTCAGAAAAGCATTACATTGAAGCCTGATCCTGAGAGGTTCTGAGCACCTTTCATATTTGATGAGCTTTAGTCTGATCCTGCAAGGGGCTGAGCATTCATCACTTCCACTGTCGATGATGGGAGTCAAGGGTGCTTAGCACTTTGTAGGATCGGGCCCATTGGAAATTGCAGGTTCTCAGCACTTCTCAGGATCAGATTCTGAAGACGAAAGACATCAATCACTCAGAAAATAAGTGTTTCTATCTTTGCTGGCAGGGAGTAACTTTGCTGGCAGGGAGATGGAAGGGTTGCATAAATGCTTTCTGGAAAACTTACTGTCATTAGCCCTCTTCTAAAGGACAAAACTCACTCTTGTTTCTTAATCCAAAGTCAGGTAAACATTTGTCTGCATGTGAAATGCGTTGAAGGAAATAGAGAAAAAAATGGTTTAATTCCATCACTTTTTATCCAACAGGATCCTATTGCGAGTTTTCTCTTTTGAGAAGAACACCAAGGTGAGTGTGCGTTCCTCATTTGCAGAGTTTTAAAAGCAAATACAAGTGAAATCAGTAAGGCTTGTCTGATATGATGAAAGTATAGGAAATACAATGTGGCCTTGTGTAGAACACCTCTGACTTTTAGTAACTTAGACATAAAGTATTTCTTCCGTTTAATAACTCTTCCCAAAGAGCTGGTGATTAAACGTGTGAATCCTTTTTTGAAAAACAAGTGCAGCTCTTTAGTAATCACAAAAAGATGGTGTTCCTCAGGGGCCCAAGTAAGTTCACAGGATGAGTTTCTTATATGACTATTCTCATATCTGATTAAAATGTACATTAATTAAATACCAGTAGATCATTTTAGTTTCAGGATAAAAATAATAAAATTCTAGTGACACACAGAAAGGAATTTCCCCACAAATAAAATGTGTTATACAATAAATATAGTCTCAGTGATGATAATTCATTTTCTCAGTCTGAAAAAAGCACTTGCAAGGAAAGTTGTATGTAATAGTTCAAACCAAAACAAAACTAGAGTATCTTCCTGATCCCATTGAAGTCAATGGAAACTTTGCCATTCAATAGAAGCAGGATTAGAACTCAGCTATGGACATCTAATGACTTCTAGTACATCTAGTGATCACACACTATATTGTACAAAATCTGGCCTGTTAAATAAAACAAAGTGTATTTTGTAGATTGAGGCCATTTATTTCTGAAATTAATTTAATTATTGCCTATTGTAATTTAGTTACCACTGGAAGGTAACCGTACACTTTTAACACCATGACCACTGCACATGCAAATAGCACTGGTGCCCCTCAACAACACGTGTACCATTCAGGCATCTAATGAAAGAACTTCACTATTTTGTGTCCCATATTATAAGCCCAATTTGCTTATCTCCCCTCCCCCATAAATACCAGGTACCTCCTTGAACAAGTAGCCTGTGTTCAAGAGCAGAGATCTGAGCACTCTTGAATTTTGTAAAACGAGACTATGAAAAGAAAAAAGTCACCTTTTTAAATGTTAACCCAAGAAAGACCTCTTTGATAACGTGCTGGAAATCAGAGAGAAACACCTCTCCCTAGGGAACCACTTATTCAGGTTGCTCAGGGACCTTTGATTATACAAGATCCTTTTTGTTTTCTTCCAGAAACCAGTTTAATGCAACTCGACAGAAAAGAGATCTCTTAGCAGCTGAGGTAGGTTATACCACAGAAAGACAGAGGGGCGAAAATCCCCCTCCTTTCTGCAATGGGGCTTTGCTGTTGTCACAATGAGGTCTTTGTAAAGGAGAATGGAAATGGTAATAACAAGACAGGGATGAGGAGGAGAAGCTTTTCCATACCTGCTTTCCTCAAACTTAAATCCACAGCCTCATTCATTCTTAGCAAAATGCTCCATGAATTACCCACCCTAACACACACCGTGGGGAGGAGGGTCTTTGTTAAATCTTTTGTGAGAGCAAACAGAAACTTGGGAGTGACTGTTTGGTGAAAAGCACAATAATGAAACCATAGCCAAACAATTTTGCAAATAGTGTTGTTATTGGGCAACGCTCCTGGGCTGTGCAGCAGGTTCCCAGGGCAGAGCCTGTGCCTCCGAAGACCATCCCCAGTTCCATTGCCTCATTGCTATTAAGATAACTCAGGGAGGTAGGAGGTCAGGGAGAAGACCTGACAATTATTCCATCTGGGATGAGTTTAAAGTCTGTCACTCTTCTAGGTACTAGGATTTTGTTGTGTGTCAGTGAGAGATGCAAACCCCTGTAAATTCCTGCCATTTGCCAGTCCTGGAGAAAGCAACTTGTTCACAGGAGTGTGGGGGTTAGCATTTGGGATGCTAGGAAGCCACATAACGTGCTGAGTGCCTGCTTGGGGCAGATGGATAGTCTTGTGCTAATATCTCAGTGAGCTATGCTCCTTGTCCTTCTTCTGATACCTCTGTTGCTGTGTTCCACCCCAGGGAGTGCTGCATTTTGGTGATGGAGAAAGTAATTCCTTACATTACTGTTAATGTAATTTTACCTAGTGTATAATTTTACCTAGTGTTTACAAAGTGCTTTGGGATTCTCTTGGATCAAAAGCTCTATATACACGCAAGATCATTTTATGTATTAAAGTAATTGTCCTATCCTAAAATTGCTTCAAAATCTCTAGAATTGAATTAGTCAGACCATTTATGAAGTATTAACACTCTGGTTTTGCTTTTTTGTTTCTCGGATAGACTGGAGCAGATTCTGCTGGGTCTCACCTTCATGGGGACCTTACTCAGGGTCAAAGTCCATCAGGAGGTCAGTACCATGTTAGTAATTCACTACCTGTTTGAAAGGATTTCAGTAAAATGCCATCTACCCATCAACTATCCCTTGTTACCAGAGATTGTGTAACTTTTGATAGTATTTACCTCCCATGCAAAACCCAGTGCTATCTAATTTTGTTATGGTAACTTGTACTTCTGACTTGCTAAATCACAGAAAATAGTTATTAAAAACAATCAGTTTCTAATGTACCTGTTAATGTGGCACCCAAGCACCTAATGAAACAAATCCTTCATTGCTTTACAGTTATTTCCACTCCCAGTTTTCTTGTGTGTCACTTTTGGGCCTTGTCAGGTTGAGTAGGTATGCTGAGTGGGATTGATAATAGCGGTTGTCCATGGAAAACCAACCTAAAGCCTCTTTTAGAAGATTCTAGGTGTCAATCAAACTCTTCAGTTTGTTGGGAGTGAATTGAGGGGTTTCACAGATGATACATTCCCATCGCTGTTATCTAGCATCCAGCATGCAAAAATGATCAAATGAGCTGAACAGTGACACTTTCTTAAGACAAGATGGAGTTTTTGCTTTCTTTCATATCAATGAATACAAATCATGGTGAATCATATAGTGTTGTTAGTTTTAAAAGTGTTTCTTTGTAAGTGAAATGGGGGAGCGAGACAGTATTCTCTGCCTGGTCTATATTTTCAAATGGTATTTGTCTTTATAAGTGTTTGAAAAATAACTTTAACGTGGAAGGCTGCTATGTTTTCTTTCAGTCTCTTGTCCTCAAGAATGCCTTAATGGAGCAGTTTGTACAGAGGCGGGTGTATGTGATTGTCAGATGTTTCAGGCTCATGGTAAAAGGTGCCAAATTGGTAAGTTTCAGTAATCGGCAATGGAATTGAGTTTCAGATTAGAGTGAGATTTAGGGGCGAGTTTGTTAAAATAATACCTGTTCAGAGCACTTTGCAATTGCCTTATAATCAAGCTGTAATTCTAAAAGGAGGCTGGGTGGCTCAAATGCTGTATTTCAGAGTGAGATATGGGAGTACAGAAGAGCATCAGATGTTCCTGAATTTTATTAATACTTGTAACAGTATCCCAGTGCATCATAATGTACCATATCTGCTTTTACTTACTTAGCAGTGTCACCAAAAATATCACTGCATTTCCACTTAAAGTGCCCTATTGCCCATTCTGCAGACAGGATGTTCAAATATTTTAATGGGACAAGTTTTGGCAGGTGTAATCTATTGGTAGTAGAATTGGGGTAGAAGTTGTTTGTCCCTATCGTGATTCCTCAGGCTCTGTAGAATATCTGCAACAGCAGCCATGGAGGGACTTTCTAAGGTCAGGCCTAGAACCTCAGCTGGTGTCAACCAATGTAGCTCCATTGAATTCAATGGAACTGCACTGACTTGTGTCAGCTGAGATGGTAGGCCAAAGCGGCTGTTGAAACTGAACCAAAATCTTAGCCTTGGTTCACCCTGAGCCCATACACCAAACACTGACCTAAACTTAAATGATATGATCATCCTCTCCTTTGTAAAGTTTTGTGGATAATGGATTTTTTTTGGTTCACTGGCAATTTCAACAAGTTGAAAACAAAACTAATTTTGTGTTAAACAAAATGTTTTATTTGAAACAAAACGTTTCATTTCAATTTCAATCATTTTCAGATATATTTAAATTTTAAAACCAAAATTAAAGGAAATTTCAAATAAAAATGTTTCAAAATGAAAAATCATAATGTTTAGTTTAAAAATGTCAAAATAAAAAGTTCTGATTTCTCCCCATCCCAGAATTTTAGTTACCCCTCCTCCCCCCCAAAAAAGGTGAAATCAACATGAATTCATGAAATGATTAATTGTCACCGAATCTGCCTTTTTTCACTAAAAAAAAAGTTTGGGTCCAAAAATTTTGCCCAGTTCTACTCATTGGTCCATTCCTAGTTATAATTTAAAGGTGAAATCCAGGCTCCATTGATGTCAATGGCAAAATTTCCATTGGCTTTATTGGTCCACAGTTCCCACCTAAGAGTTTTAAAACTTGTCTTAATTTCATTTCTTGAATGATCAGCACAGAAGATAGTTTTATTTATCTACTAGGCATGTAATATCTTACTTTTGTACATGTCTCTGACACTTGTGTAATTTTGTTGTTATTTTGCATTTTATAAACTCATCTTATTTATTCTCCCCAGTACCTAATGATGGCAAGGATCGAGATGGAATTTGCAAATCATGGGGACAGTATCACTTTGAAACATTTGATGGCATCTACTACTATTTCCCAGGAAATTGTTCCTACATTTTTGCAAAAGATTGCAGTGCTCCAGAACCTCAGTACACTGTATGGGTAAGTGTGTGAATATGGATTTTGAAATGAAATGCAAAAAATTTTTATAACATAACTCAACAGAGACAGTAAATAGATCAAAAGGTGGTTTATTTCCTTTTTAGATTTATAGAATGTGCTGATCAAAAACTCTGTAAGTACACATGCAATAACATCTACAAATCTCTGAAATATAAAGTAAACTGTATTATAAAATGATCTCTTTAGGCAAACATGGGGAACTTTTCTCCTGACTTCAAAGTAGTTGACTGTCTCCTTCATTAGCCCCAGACTGAATCATTTAATGTTAGTGATCAGTGCTCTGATGTCAAATGTTGAATAGCATCATTTGTTACATACAAATGAAGTTAAGACTTGTATTATTCCAAAGATAGTAACTCTGATAACTGTGATAAAGAAATTGGTTCCATGACAGATTTGTAAAACTGCAAGTGGTAGTTATAGAGACAAATATGAGTTGAGGAGGTTTTCTGAAATATAGAGATTCTACTTACATTAAATGTGGTTTGACCAGGACAGGTGGACTGGACTAGTTTTGGGCATAGATGACCACACAGGATTTCATATCAAAGAGGCTTCCAGATATCCCCGGTGTAAAGATTTGAAAAGAGAAATTGATTAGGAGAGAAGATGTTCATTGAGCTAAACTTTTGTGCTATAGAATATATTAGGGTTTTCTTGGGTCTGCATATCTGCTTTAGGTAGGACTACATGAAAAACTTTTGTTGGTACAGTAATGCCAGTTAGAGGGGTGATTATTATTTTTTGATGATATCTCTGTGCTGGCAAAAGCATTTTTTTGCTGATATAAGTTGTTGACACTGTCCTAACAGAACTCTCAAACCAAGCGGGACCAAGCAGAATCAATACTTGGATGGAACACCTCCAAATAAACCCCTACTTGCTGCAGGAAGGGACGCTGATGATTCAATAGATGCCAGTCTTTTTTTCTAGGTCAATATTGAGAGTGCCCATACGGTGCTGGGGCTATTGTGTTGCTGGCGGTCCCATCTTTCAGAGGACACATGCCTTTGGGCAGTAAAGGCCCACTTGCACTTTTCTGGGGTGTTCCCCTCAGTATCATTCCCAACCCCATAACTAGGTAATTATATTCTGCTTAAACTAAATTCTCTCTGCAGTTTCAATTGGATAAAATATTCCAGTTCTTTTTTCTGTCTTAAGCTGCTATGTAATGATGCCGGGTGCTGTTAAACAGTTACTGGGTTTCATAGCAGCGCGAGGCAAAGTGGTCTTCTAACCATGTATATCCCTGTATTAGTGATCCCTTGTATTGTTTAAATATTTATTTCTAAAGTTCTTTGGGATCCTTCAGTGAGAGGTGTGTAGATATGTAAAATATTATATGTGTAAATTTATTAAGAGTTGTATGTAAATATTGAGCAGAAAACCACATTTGTTGTTAGTGCACGTGTGTGTTTTTCTCCTCTCAAGGTTCATAACAGCCCCCAGTGTGATGGTTCGGTGTATTCTTGTCTGCGGTCAATCAGCTTATTTTTTTCAAGCCAGGATGAAATAGTTGTTGTGGGACATGAAGTAAGAAAAGAAGGAATCAGGTAAATGAACTGACTGTTTTTGGAACATCTTACCACAGAAATGAAGTATTGGAATTGTGGGAAGGCACTCGAGTAATTTAGCCTGCATCCTCACTGCAAATTGGGCTGGTTACCAGCCCGAGTGAAAGTGGAGCCTATACTCTAATCTACACCCACAGCCGCGCCAGCTAGCCTGGGCTGAAAGTACCACTAAACTCAGGGAGAGGTTTTTGTGTGTGGATGGGATAGGGACTAGGGGCAATATCAGGTAAGAGCTTGGCATAACCCTGCAGTGAAGACATACCCTCAGATGTCATATGGTAAGACACAGAGGTTATAATTATTACTGGTAAGTCAAATTCAGATTTGATGAAAGGAACTTAACTCTATTGAAACGTTGAGCGAGTTGTTCACTCACACCTGTCTGAGTTAGCCTATTAATTTTGCTATTTTCAGTGGTGGGCCTCTACAAGGCATCTGATTTCTGATTTTTCACGTCTGTCCCTTGACTGAAAGTTTTTCTACATTGGGAAAATGCATGGTGTTATAATATGTTAATTATTGGACTGTCTTTTTTAAAATGGTGTTAGCTAGTCTTGGTTAACCCTTGGTCAACCCTGATATTATTTAAAATATGACAGTCAGTCATTGTCCATGCTGAGTGCATTGCCCCATTGTAGAGAAGTCCAAATTGAGTTCATCAGGGTCCTTAAGTTCCTTCTGTCTTACCATTTTGAGGCCCAAAATAGTGTTTGAGATACAGCAAACCCTGAACTCTATCAGGTTTACCCATCTTTGTTTCAAATATAAGGGTCGATGAGTAGATCTGGTGTTCTCACGTCTGAGTTGTTACACCTGGTAGCTACAAGGTTATTGCCATTAGTCCCAGAAGCAGCAACCTTTGAAGACAGAGATTCTGCAATACTAGAATCTGGTGGAAATCCAAACATAGCTGTCCCCACTAACTGGACAGAGCTACAGGCATATTAGAGGATATACTGTACATGGCTAATAATGTTTTCTGTGCTATTTAATCTTTGATTAAGCAAGGGTCTTATTCTACACACATTCTATGTACAGAACAGTTATTGACTTCAAAGGGAGTTGTCTGTATTGAAAACTTGAAGGATATGGCTCTATGTTATTACCCTGTCAGTTACTGATATTTTTAAAAGTTTTTGGGCACATCTACCTGTTGCTGCTTCTGTTTACAAATGAATTAAAAGTGCACTTAGACTCTAAAAAGGAACTGTATAAATGACTTCATGGGTCCCATGCTTAATGTCTCTGTCAATTACTCCATGTCAAAACTATTTAGTTTACAAGTAAAAAGATGTCTTTCCTAACACAGCAGTGCTGCAAACGCACCATGGGATTTGAAAGTCAACGTGGGTTCTTTCTGGTTTATGCATCAATACTGTATTGATTGTGTATGTGCCAGAAAATAATCCATTTCACTGAATTGATTGCGCAAAGTAACAGGAGTGACAGATATTGAAAACGTATTTTTGACAGAAAAGTAAACAGACTTTGAGGACACACGGGGAAGAGATCTAATGAGTTGGAAGGTGACATTTTATGTAATCTTTTTCTAGTTCTAGTCTCACTTGTCGTGTTTAAAATGGGTTGTTCTATTTTTCCAGATTGACATTGCCTCAGACAATTGGAAATGTTTTCATTGAGAGGCTGGCCGACTATATTCTGGTGAAAACTACCTTTGGTTTTTCTCTTGCTTGGGACGGAAGCTCTGGTATTTATATTAAACTGACAGAAGAACATAAAGGGAAACCTTGTGGCCTGTGTGGAAATTATAATGGCAATAAATCTGATGATCTGATAATACAAAATAGTAAGTGAAGAGACCAGAAATGCACCTTTCCTTTGTTATAAAAAAAACCAAAAAACAACAACCAGATTCTGTGGTCCTGATGTCTTGTAAATATGAGGATGTGCTCTAAAAGGTTGTGACTATTATCCGTTTAAATTTATTTTCAGGCAATTTGAGTAGACTATATAGGGTCTGGTCCACTTTCCCCAGTCATAAATTTTAAGGAGTAGGGCTAGTTCAACAAAACCTTTAAGTGTATGCTTAAGTCCTTTCCTGTTCAGCAAAACACTTAAGCACATGCTTAATTTAATTGATAAACAAACTTTTAATGACCAAAATAGTATTGTTTTTGTGAAAGCAATGTGATGTAAAAAACAAACAAACCCAAATTAATATTTGGAAAGGGCAATAGTTCAGCATGAGGCTCTACATAGTTATTTTAAATATGTTGCTATTTTATTGGTTGGTGAAATACAGAAAATTGAAAAACCTTGTTGAGGAAGTTTATTTTTTTCCCATTGCTACACTTTTATTAACATACTTTGTTGTGGTGGCAGATGGTATATTTTCAGAAGATGAATAATCAAGTGGCATCACTGTAGTCCATCTGAGAGACTACGAGCTTGTGTTGTTGATTTCAGCAAGGGTGCCAGAGCAGGAGAAAGTTAAAACAGCTTTTCTCTTCAACTGAATAGTGTTCTCTCTAGGCAACACTTTATATTGGCCATTGTCTACTGTAGATAATATTTTATGCACACCCAAGTGAAAAGTGTTCTGTGCTGCCTTTGTTTTAGAGCAGACACCAGCTCGCAGCTGGTGAAACAAGAGGAGGAAGGTTGGGAACACAAGAGGAGCAAACAATCCCTGATATAAGTAAAAATAATAATGGTATTTAACCACTACAACAAACTACAGGGAGAGTTTAGTTTCTCGCATTGGCTATTTTTAAAAATTACACGTTTTATCTCAATATTACCCTGGCTTTTCTCCCTCTTTCTACATCGCTCTTGGGCGATAGCCAGGTGCTATTTATTGTACCAGGAGAGTGAGAAGCAGTTTATGTGTGTGCACATAGCCTTGATTTTCTGCCCAATAGAAACTGGTTGTATCCTCTCCACAGTGCATGTATCAGCCTCCAGTTATTCAGTGACATGGTACTATTTGTTCTGTTCCAGACATTTGATGTCTGTATACCAAAGCATAGTACATTATCTGGCCAGTTAAAACTAATGGTTTTTTTAAAAAAATCATTGATTCACACAGAGTTAAAAATATAGTTTCAGTGTCTCTTTAGTTTACTGTTTATCATAAAACACTTTCAAGAGGTGGTCTGCTTTCTGTCTCCACTTTCAGCATTACACAGTACTAATGGCACTATAATCTGGCAACTGTAATGGCAGAATTCCTGTCTTTTAGAAGTCAGAGAGATATGGATCACAATAAAAATTAAACATGAACTGAGTTTATAACACTGCACCCTGACACCATGTGTGCAAAAGAGAAGCAATCTGTTGTGATATTTTTCACAAGAATAAGATGTGATGGGTTCATAATACTTATAAATTGCAACTCTCTCTCTACATCTAAATGTTTCCAACTCTCATCAGTCCTTTATGGTATTTCCATACAGGGCCGGCTCCAGGGTTTTGGCCGCCCCAAGCAGCCAAAAAAAAAAAAAAAGTCGCGATCGCGATCTGTGGCGGCACTTCGGCGGGAGGTCCTTCGCTCCGAGTGGGAGTGAGGGACCGTCTGCTAAATTGCCGCCAAATAGCTGGACCTGCCACCCCTCTCCGGAGTGGCCGCCCCAAGCACCTGCTTGCCAAACTGGTGCCTGGAGCCGGCCCTGTTTCCATACACCAGCAGTGTAAGATGAACTGTTCTTTGTAGTCTGCAGACTGATTACTCTCATTGGCCCCAGCTACACTACAGCTCGAACCAAATCTGGGGATCTGTTGTCCATATGACTGTCTTCCAGTTTGGCAGTGCAGTTCAGAATTGTAGGATCTCTGAAAGTGGGTTAAAGTCTTGGACACAGTTGCAATGAGGTCCCCGACTCGGTTATGGCTGTAGTGTTGCTGGGGCATTAGACATACCTCACAATCTACCAAAGTAGTAGTAGAAAGTACATTTAAGAATTCAACATTTCTAATGATGGTAAAATAAACTGCGAAATACAGTGGGACAAGTGGAAAAATGGGACAATGCTACAATCCTAAAACTGTTCAAGATACAAAAATGAATCCAGATGGGGATTCCCCCAAACAAAAAAGTGAGCGAAATTAAAAGGCATGCTACAGATTCTGAATACTTAAAAAATAGTAGTTGAATCTTATTCTATTTTTGTTTTTCTTAATGGCCACTTTACACACCATCTCTTTGTTGTTGTTGTTTTCTTTATATGACACCTTACTCATTTTGCTAGATCTGCCCAGAGGAGGACAATTCTATTTAACAGCAACTTTTGAGGTTTCAAAATTTGATTTTGTTCATCACTGGAACAAAAGCAAAATCTTTCGAATGTTGAATATAAAACAAAATTTGTCAGAATGTCTTTATTTGGAATATAACCCTGGGTTGTTTGATTCAGGAAGGTTTTCCAGGTACAGGGCTTGTGGGGGAGGTGGAAGGGGGAGAGGAGGGAAAGAGATTGAGACTCAGAGATTGGATCTCTTTTGACCAGAGAGCTAGAAACTGATTCTATAGCCTGAGTGAGAGGGCACTGTCCTGGCATGTAGGAGACCTACGTTTATGTCCCTGCTTTGCCTGAATCAGATTCTCCCCCTCCCAGGCTATAGACTGTGAGAGTGTCTCTCTCTCTCTCTCTCTGATTGGAAGTGACCAGAGAGCCTCAGTGATCCAAGAAACCTTGGTGATGAAAACTTTGTCAAAATCAATATGTCTCCACAAAACATTTCTGCTTTGATAAAACAGCATATTTTGACACAATTTCATTTTGTCAAAAATGTTCTGACCAGCTCTAAATTTTGACTTAGAAGATATTGGATTGGATTCCCTGTGTCCCGAGCTGATTTAATCTGGAGGCAATGTATGCAGGCTTTGATAAAGGGATTTGTAGATGCATCTCATTTTAGTATCCCTGGCTTCTGACCTATTGATTGGTATTGGTATCAACTGCTGCTGTGTCCCACAAGATAGAGGAAATGCACCTGTTTCACTCTTTTTGCACATTTAAGAGCATGAAGTAAATGTGGTACTTAGTGCTTAGAGCAGGACAATGGGAATCAGAAAACCTTGGGTCTCTTCCCTCTGACATTGACTTGTTGCTTGGCCTTGAGCATCTGTTTCCTTATCTGTGGAATGCTGTTCTATTATATACTGGTTCTTATGTCTCCCTCTTCACCATAGTCTCTGGTACCTTCCAGCAGTGCGTTAAGCGATGTGACTAGCATCGGTCACATGTGGTTTGTTCTTTCTCTCATCTTCTCTCCAAGGGGGAGTGTGTAGTGCAGTGTTTTGTTTTGGTAGGATTTTTCTTTTGAGGGGACGGGTGGGGGACAGGAGAGATTATTATACCCACTTTCCCCAAAATATATATAGAGGTCCTTAAATAAAATGTATTAAAGAAGTACCAAAAACAAACAAATACTCATAGTAAGAAATCTGCCTTTGACTCCTTATGAAGTTACCACAACTATATTTCCTGAAAAACTAGACATTTCCTGTTAATTCATTTTAGAATTTAAATATGGTATAAAAGGTTAACTGAAATTTAAAATAATTTTGTAAAGATCCCAAACTACTAACTGAATATATCTTATAGTAAGTACATTTAAATTGTTTGGAAAATAATTCTAATATTTCATTCGAGGGGTTCCTCGGCTTTTGTGTTGACAGAAAAACCTTTGTTCTTGTGGAAAATGATTCTGTTCGATGTTTTTCTGAAGTAGGTGAATATACAGAAGACATTGCTGTATTTGCAAACAGTTGGTCTATACAAACCCCAGATGATGCAATTTGTGTGACTACTGCCTCAGATTTTTCTAGTCCATGTTCGACTGACACAGAGTCCTCCGAGGTAAGTTGGTCAATGTACATTTTCATATTAGATGCATTATAGTGATTCACCTTCTCTAGCCTGTTTTATGTATTTCCATTAACAATAATTTTATAATAAAGTGCCCAGCCCTTCCCAAATCAAAGCACTTATGGCTCTGCATAGACCTAAAATTCAACACACGTGAAAAAATCATAAATGATTGATTTAAAATTAGATAAAATATTTTAAAAGGCAAATGCTGTGTCACCCGGTTAATAAATCATATTTTCTAACCAGTTATATAGGTGCATAAGAAATGAAATATAGTCATCTGCATGTTCTTTATTGATAATACATGAGACTCTTTAGAGTCCTAAAGGACTTTCACACAAAGTGCCTGATACTGATCTCACACTGGTGAAGATCAGGATTAACTCTGCTGTTGTCAATGGAACTATACCAGTGTTAGAGAACGTGAGGGGGAACAGCATAAATAAGATCAGAATCAGGAAAACTATAGTGAGTATATCAAGCTTGTAGAGAAGAGATTGGTCCAAGGCAAAACACTGGCTCTAAACACTGAAACATTGGGAATGAGAAGATTTAGATCAGGCCTGTCATTAATGTAGGGACTTTTCCTAAGAACTTTTGAAGAACTGTATATGATGAAATTAAAATAACAAGGGATTGTTGGCCTACTTACAGTTATTTACTGCCACATTGGACTGTGGGTTTAATTCCCAGCCCTGATGCCTTACCCCTTCATTATCTGAGGAGTTTAAAATACTGCAGAGGAAATATGCTCAGCTCCTGGGTGGAAGAGGATGCTTTTTGTCACTTTGGCCAGTTTAGCTGTAGCATTGAGGGCCTATAGAAGAAATTCAATCCAGTCAAAACTGGTCTGGGAAGAATAGTGACTGTGATATACCGGGCGAATGAGTGGAGATAGGAGAAAATGGGGGAATCGTTTTGTTTTAAAAGGAATGTAATAGACACCCAACAGGGGAAACAAAAGTAAAAAGAATAATATTTATATCATGAAGTATATGATAGCTGTTATTTAACTGATTTTTTTTAAAAAATGCACAGGCTATATTCTTCAAATGCCAAATACTCCTACAGTTTCCTTTTCTCAGCTGTCATGAAAACGTAGACCCTTATTCATATATTTCTAGCTGCATGAATGACCTTTGCAGGTAAGAAGGATGGTGTTCTTTAAACATTTATTTTCATTCTTTGAAATATTAAACTATAGCCAGACTGGTTTTAGATAGTGGAGTTTTTCAGTACAATTTTATTTTAGTAATTTCCTCTCCACATTTCCCCCAATCTCACCTCCCAGTGTTTCTCTGTTTGATCCCAATAGTCGCTATAATCTTAATAAACAGTGAGTCAAATTCAAACCTGGCATAAAATGTTGCTACTCTCATAGACAACAATGAGTACTGCATCCTCTAATGCTAGGGATAAATTCAATCCATTATTTCTCCCTTAATTTCAGAGGTGGTTTTTTTTTTAGTCTTGTTTGCTAATACCAACTGCATTTCCAACAGTGCTGGTTTCTGTTAGACCTTGTGAGATCATTTGAATTAGAAGTGATTATCCCCTCATGTGTACTGAAATTGAATAATTGACCAAGCAATATACCTCCGCTTTTTCAGTAAAAATGATATCACTAACAAATAATCTTAATGACATCACTATCCATGTTATTTATTTATATCTTTTACTACTTTATTTACTTTCTGCTTTCCTATTTATTTATTTAAGTGGGTACAGAAGGCAATCAGTGCAATGAATTGAAGAAACTCTTGCTTCCATTATACTTCAATATGAGACAAATGACTGGTTTTTGATTTTCTCTTTTGCTTCACAATGGAGATAGCAAGATACAGATTTACTAGCGTCATAGAGTTTAAAACCGGAAGGGACCACTCCATCATCTAATCTGACCTCCTATAGACCACTGGCCACCAAAACACCTGCATACTAAACCCAACAACCGAAATTAGACTGAAGTAGACATAGGAGACTAGATGATTATGTGTTACACACAGACAATAGGAAGTAGCAAGGTGCACCAGTGCCTGGGGCCCCCTGCAATGGCAGAGAAATGATTAGGTGAGAGAGACCTTGGGTCTAAAAATGTTTTCACTGAAGCCAGTGGAAAAACTCCCATTGACTTCAGTGGTAGCAGAAGCCAGGCAGGATCTGAATCTTATTTGTAATGCCTATTTACATTTCAGTGACTTATTGCACCTTCTCTTTTGCAATGGAGAAAAATGGAAAGCAAACTTTCAGGATGGCATTGAGTTAATAAGGCAATATGCAGGAGGCTTTGTGTTTTTTGTTTTTGGTTTTTTTTTATCATTCACACCTGTGATGTGAATGGTGTGAATATTCAAAACTTTGAGTGAAGTTTGTGTCCCAGGATCTCATTAATTTAGGCTTATGTTGCTTATAAAAGAGAACTCTCGTCTTGTGGCTTAGTGTCAGGTTAAGAAGTTCCTTCTGGCGCCGTAGTTTATATGCCAAGTCACTGGTTCTATTAAGACTCATTTAATTGGATTAGATGAGGCAAGCTGGAGAGAGACCGATCACTGTGGAGTTTTGAAATGGTGACTTTGTAACAGGTATGTTGAAAGCACCAAAACACACACAATGCGATATAGTCTTAAAACAACTAATTTTGGAAACTTGATCTTGTGCTGAAAGACAAATAAACCCTTAGACTATATATTATAACCTTTCCTATCTCAGAGATGTCTTGTTATGACTAGTCTATTTTGGTACAAAGTCCTTCACAGTGAACATCCGTTAACTTCTCACTTTAAAAAAAGTGACTCCTGTCCATGGAATACCTGAGCACAACCCAAATATTAATGAATGTATCCTTTGAGCAACCTGATGAGGGAGGGAATATTATCCCCATTTTGCAGACAGGGAAGGGAGGTATAAAGAGTGACTTTGACCAAGGCCACACAAGAAGTCTGTGACAAAGCCAGCAGTAAGACCCAGATTTCCAGACTTGCAGGCCATTGCCTTTAGCACAAGACCACCCTTCCTCTCACAAATTGTTTCTATTAATGAGCATTGCTAATCTTTTGTAATAAATGTTACTCATTCTTTGTTGTAACATTAAAATAAAGCAAACATCGTTTGTCGGGTCAAATGGTAAAAAATGCAAAACCATAATCAGTATCCCTAGTTTCTTTTTTAAGTAATGCTATTTAAAGTCTCAAAAACTGTAACCCCTTTTAACTGTGCAAGGCCAACTCTGTGGAGAGTTCTGTAATGTCACATAGCAGATATTTATGAGTATTAAATTTAGGATTTAGTGATGACAGGATTATTTTACCGCTTCAGAGTGGATGATGATGAAACTTACTGCCGAGCAGTGACAGAGTATGCTAGAGCATGCTCACATGCAGGCTACCCCGTACGGGACTGGAGGGAGGATTTTCTTGCCTGCTGTAAGTATCAACTTTTTAATATTTAAAATGTTTTATTAATTTTTCCAAATACACCAAAATAGCAGATTCAACATAATACATAAAGTAAGCAAAAAGGATTAGGATTAAAGGAGGGGAGGGAAAGAGATTGATCTATCTTCAGGGTCAACCTTAATCAGGGACCTCTAACAAGTTCAAATTACTTGGAATTTTTCGGAATGCCAGTCGTTCATTAGCTGCGAGGTCAGCCTTATTGAGCCAGGCATCGATGTTTGGTAGGGATAGATTGTTCCATTTTTGCAGGATTGATTACTTTAGTGACCAAAGCTGCATATTGGAGCCATGCCACTAGGTAACCTCCACGTACAGTAACTCCTCACTTAACGTCCTCCTGCTTAAAGTTGTTTCGAAGTTACATCGCTGCTCCATTAGGGAACATACTCGTTTAAAGTTGTGCAATGATCCCTTATAAGGTCGTTTGGCTCACTTTACAAGGGAGCATTGCACAAGTTCCTCTTCTCCGCCTCCTCCCACTCCCTTCTTCCCTCCCTCCCAGCGCTTCCCCCGCCGCCAAACAGCTGTTTGGCAGCGCTTAGGACTTTCTGGGCGGGAGGGAGGGAGCGAGCGGTCAGGGCCACCCGGAACGCAGGGGCTTTAGGGGCTGCAGGGCCCTGGCCTAAGGGGGCCCCTGGCCTGCAGCTCTAACACCCCTTTCAGAATGCGGCCCTGCGTGCATGGGCCAGAGGACTCAGGAAGAGCAGGGGCAGCTGTGCAGCCAGTGGCCAGAGAGAAGTAGCACTTTCTCCTTCAAAGCCAGCCGGAGAGAAGCAGCGCTTTTGAAGGGGAAAGCGCCAGTTCTCTCCGGCCACTGGCTGCGCGGTTGCCCCTGCTCCTCCTGAGTCCTCCAGCCCGTGCTCGCATTCCGAAAGGGGCTTTAGAGCTGCAGCCCAGGGCCCCGGGACCCCCTTAGCCCAGGGCCCCGGGGCCCCCTTAGCCCAGGACCCTGCAGCCCCTAAAGCCCCTGCGTTCTGTGTGGCCCTGCCTGCCGGGGGGGGGACTCCCAGAATCATGGCTCCCAGAATCGCGGCCATGGGGGCGGTGCTGTGCTGCACAGAGCCTCCTGCACACCCCCTGCACCAAACAGGAGCTGCCCCAGGTAAGTGCTCTGCACCTTGTGCCTGCCCCAGCCCTGAGCCTCCTCCCACGCCCCCCACCCTGAGCGCCCTTCCGCACCCTAACTCCCTTCCAGACCCTGCACCCCCAGCTCTGAGCCCCAGGGGTAAGCCGGGGCACCTCCCCACCACAGTACAGTACATAATGCCTTTTGTCTGCCCCCCCCCCCCCAAAATTTCCTTGGAACCTAACCCCCAGCATTTACATTAAATCTAATGGGAAAATTGGATTCATTTAACTGGCTCTGTCCCCCAGCCTGGAACAGTACCTGGCCTGACCGTCCTGGGGAGGAAAGGGGGCTGGGATGGGATGGGCCGGGCTGGCTTAATGGAGGAACCCTAGCTGCTGCTGTCTGCTGTGGTGACCTGCGGCCACTCTGGCGCCGGCTGCTGCAGCGATGTGGTGGCTCTGGTGCCTCCCTGCTGGGGCTGCTGCTGCTACCGAGGGGACGCCACATGCCGGCTCCTGTTCCTCCTCACCACCATTCCCATATCCCCTTCTATTCCCCATCGCACCCCACTTCCCTTCCCCACTGCCCCCAGCCCCATCCCTTTCTCTTCCCCTGCCCTACTCCCCCCTTCCCCACTGTCTCTTCTCCCCATCCCCCTCTCCTCAGCCCTGCCCTTCCCCCCCTTGCCCTGCCCCCGGTAGGCACTCAGTCTTGTACAGGAAACAGATGGGCACTAGGACCCAGAAGGGCAACATCCAGCTGCCAAGGTAGCAACCTGGAGCAGCTGCTCGGTTCTGCTCCCCATCCTGGCCCAGCCAGCTGCCCGGCTTGCTCCGCTTGGCCTACCTTTGGGGGAGGCACAGTTTGGGATGGGCAGAGCCCCCACCCCCCATAGGCCAAGCAGAGCAAGCCCTGCAGGGCAGCTCGGTATTTGTTGAAATCGGGAGAGGGGGAGTGGCACATGACCTCATGTGTCCCCCCACACCTTACCTCTGTTTGGGGGGGGGCAATGCCCCTCCTGCACCCCTTCAAACTACCGCCATGGTCTGTGTGTGGACCACTATATTTGGAAATGTGACTTTTGGTGAATAAGCTGTAGTTTCAGGTCTATAGTTGCTTTTTTAATGTTAGGTACAATTGTATTCCATTGAGTTGGAGATAGTAATAATTGGATACAAAACTAAAGCATATTTAAGATTTTTTAAAATGTTGTATTCTAACATATGCAGTGTTGCTGTGGCCATGATGGTCCCAGGATATTAGAGAGACAAGGTGGGTGAGGTAATATCTTTTACTAGACCAACTTCTGTTGGTCAGAGAGACAAACTTTCAAGCTACACAGAGCTCTGCTTCAGGTCTGGGAAATGTACTCAGAGTATAACAGCTAAATACAAGGTGGAACAGATTGTTTAGCATAAGTAGTTAACACATATTTCAGGGGGCCATTTAAGGTGAAGTGGCCCCATTAACATCTCTCCAGTCATGGGGAAAATAGAATAGAGACACTGGATTTATGGTTTATTACAGCATTCTATAAGCCCCCACTTAATTCCCCTCCCCCCATCATTCCCCTCCCCCTTATGACTGGAGAGGTGTTAATGGGCTTTTAAAAGTAGATTTATGTAACAACAATTAACTATACCAGAAACATTGCACAACTATTTATTTGGTAAGATGTGTTGTGTTTCAAAAAAACAAATTACTGATGAAGGTTTTCTAACTTATAAAGGAAGCATAATGCACTAATGTCCAGTGTAATTTGTACATGTTTTAGCTGAAAAGTGTGAAGACAGTTTTGTCCATCGGGATTGCATTAGTTGTTGCCCCCCAACCTGCACATTTGAAAAGGATTGTCTTGGCAGCAACCTCCATTGCTTAGATGGCTGTTACTGTCCAGATGGTAAGTATCTAATATTGTCACAGGACATATTAACATTAAACTAATGCCTGACAACACAACTATAGTGTCATAGACTGTATGCTTAAAATTAAAAATCAGAAAAAATGTATATTTTACATACGTAAGCTTCTATTTTAGTTTTTCATATATATCCATGCTTTCTTTCCTCCTGCTAATGTTTTATGCATTGGTTGTATTATTATATTCTTCTAAAAGATCATTCAAAATACAGTGCAACTGTGAATCAGACCATATCAGTTAAAACTTGGGTGAGCTATACAAATAAAAAAGTTGCATGAGTTTTAACGAGCGTATCTGAATTTTTCCTAATTGTTTTGAGTTTTTTAAATAGTGCAGATATTTTATGCTGTGTTCAGGAAGATTACCTTCCTTAAAGCTAGACTCAACAAAAGACAAGATGTTGGACTGCAGGGAACAGCCCTGCAATGGACTGTGTGACCACCAGTCTTTTCCATTTCAAATTTGTATGGTTCTATGGGATCATTGCGGGTATTGTACATGGCATGCACATTCAGGGTGAAATTCAAGCTGCTTCAAAAGACCTGCTCAAAGACCTCCACCACAAATCCCCCCAATAAGCCCCTTTAAACTAGTAAGTGGTGCACCTTGAGTGGACACCTTGCTTTGGGGTGAATTTCATTCAGTGCTTAATTTGTAATGAAAGAGGGGCTCAAGCAATTAGGTGCCGGGTCTCAAACAATTTTTTTACATTCCTTACTGATGCAGCAAGCCCTGAGGTGCCAGAGCTTTGAACTGCCACGCCTAGAAGTGCCAGGACACAAATTAAACACTGATTTCACCCTTTCGCTGAATTGAACTTTTATGCTGCAGAGTGAACAGTGGAGCACAAGGATGGCCCAGCAGTTGAGGCACTGGTCTGGGATGTGGGAGATTCAGGTCAATTCCCTCCTGTACCATGGACATCCCGTGTGACCTTGGGCGAGTCACTTAGGGCAGGTCTATACTACAGGGTTAAGTTGACCTAAGTTACGCAACTCCAGCTACATGAATAATGTAGCTGGAGTCGACATAGCTTAGGTTGACTTATTGCAGTGTCTATACCATGCTGGGTCGATGGGAGAAACTCTCCCATTGACTTACCTTATGCTTCTCGTTCTGGTGGAGTACTGGAGTCGCCGGGATAGTGATCGGTGGCCGATTTAGCGGGTCTTCACTAGGTGACCCACTAGGTGACCCAGCATCGATCCACAGTAAGTGTAGACATGCCAATGCTTCCAGGAACAGCATGGTCCCGCCACCTTCTTGACACTGTCCCCACTGGTGTGCTGTGCATGTGAGGTCACACCATGTAGAGCAGTGGTTCTCCAGCTTTTTCTTTCTGAGCCCCTCCCCCTACCCCTACATACTATAAAAACTCCACGGCCTACCTGTGCCACAACAACTGTTTTTCTGCATATCCAGTAGATTAAAAGACTAGGGGTAGCAAGCAGGGAAATTGCCCAGGGCGGCCTGGTGAAGTTAAGTTGCTTGGGCTTGGGCTTCAGACCCAGGCAGCAGGGCTTGGGCTTCAGCTTTCTGCCCTGGGCCCCAATGAGTCTAATGCTGGCCCTGCTCTCTGGTTTATTTTGACGGACCCCTTGAAATCTGCTCGCGGCACCCTAGCAGGCCCCGAACTTCTGGTTGAGAACCACTGATGTAGAGGACACCATTTTAAAGGGTGAGCCACCCTGCCCCCACTGGTGCAACCGTGCATGAATGGTCATGGTGGAGTGGGGTGGGGTAAGGGTGGGGATGGTGTGGCACACTCTTCAAAATGGCACCCTGCATCCATGATTTCAGATAAAATCATGCCTGGTTTTGTCTCAGTACTGGACAGGGAACAAACCATTTAGAATCTGGACTGTCTGGCTTAAAACTGGATGAATGGCCTGCTTTGCCTCAGTTCCCCATCTGTACAATGGGGGTCATGGAGAGGAGACGGACACTGCTGGGATAAAACCACCCACTGAAATATTATGAAAATGGTGTCCCTATGACCAAGTGAACATACAGAGTGAACGATAGAGCCCTAATATTCCTATCATGTTTTCAGTCTTTTTTTTTTTTTCTTTTAAATGAAAATAGGTCTCGTTATGGACAATGGAACTTGTATCTCTGTGTCAAATTGTCCTTGTATTTATCATGGGAAAGCCTTCTCTGCCGGCTCAAAAATTGAACAAGAATGCAGTCAGTGGTATGTAACCTCTAATCCACTCTTTCCTTTTTCATGTATCTGTTTGCCTATATTTAATTCACTGTAGGATGTTTACTAAGTTACATTACATTTTTCAAGGCTATTCTATATCTGTATCTACAATCCGTGTTCTGTATCTAACTAGAATACAGAGAAAATGTATCCTAAATGAAGTATAAATTTGTGACATGTCTGAAGACTTACAAAATCAATTTTTTCTAAAAACCTGAACAAAAAGCATGTTCTGTGTTTTGTGCTTTATTTAGTACTTGTACTGGTGGCATTTGGAACTGCACTGAACACGACTGTCCAGGTAACTGCATTTTAATTATTCCTATCACCAGTACAGGGATCACCAGCGATCTGGGGGCTCATAGTGGATCACAAGCTAAATATGAGTCAACAGTGTAACACTGTTGCAAAAAAAGCAAACAGCATTCTGGGTTGTATTAGCAGGAGTGTTGTAATCAAGACATGAGAAGTAATTCTTCCACTTTACTCCGCACTGACTAGGCCTCAACTGGAGTACTGTGTCCAGTTTGGGATGCCACATTTCAGGAAAGATGTGCACAAATTGGAGAAAGTGCAGAGAAGAGCAACAAAAATGATTAAAGGTCAAGAAAACATGACCTATGAGGGAAGATTAAAAATTGGGTTTCTTTAGTCTGGAGAACTTAACAGTTTTCAAGTACATAAAAGGTTATTACAAGGAGGAGTGAGAAAAATTGTTCTCCTTAACCTCTGAGGATAGAACAAGAAGCAATGGGCTTAAATTGCAGCAAGGGCAGTTTAGGTTGGAAATTAGAAAAACTTCCCAACTGTCAGGGTGGTTAAGCACTGGAATAAGTTGCTTAGGGAGGTTGTGGAATCTCAATCATTGGAGATTTTTTAAGAGCAGGTTAGACAAACACCTGCCAGGAATGGTCAAGATAATACTTAGTTCTGCCATGAGTGCAGGGGACTGCATTAGATGACCTCTTGAGGGCCCTTCCAGTCCTATGATTCTATACTAAATATGTGGCCCAGAAGCTGCAAAAGATAACAGAAACAGATATGCTTTAGGGGTTTGGGATGATAATAAGCAAACAGGAAAGATTAAATAAATGGATGCAGAGAGCAATGATTAGACCACTGGTGTGCTGATTATCTGACCATATCATCCTACTGTTACCTTATGCTTCCCCCAATCTTTCTGTTGTATCCCCCTGCTGTCTCTTGTCTTAGACTTCATGTTCTTCAGGGCAGACACCATCTTTCTATTGTGCATGTACAGTGCCTAGCACAATGGGTCCATGATTGGAGCATCTAGATATTATCATAATACAAACAGTGATAAGAGCACATCATCCTGGTGCTCAGCTTACTCTGCATAGAGCAACAGGTTAATTTTAAGATAACAGGCCTCATTTTTAAGGCCTCCATTGCTTTGGACAAAGTTATTCAACATCTATTCAATAACTCTTGTACCTCAGGGACCAAGCTCTCCCTTGACAGTTATATTTCATAGAAATGATAAAACTCAAAATCAGGAGGTCAAATTCATGAAAGTGGGACAGAGCTTTCCAGGCAACTGTCTCTAGACTATGGCGCTCCCGGTGGAAGGATAAGAATGACTACCTACCTAACCTCCTTCAGAATGCAATGCACGACTCATTCCCTTTTAATCTATCCTTCCCACAACAGCAGCAACTAAGAAAAGGAAAATAAAAGGGAGAAACATGCTCTCTCTGCCTCAGGCTGACATGCAGAGAAAAGAGGAGGAAAAGTATTCCAGGAACCTCGCGAGAGGTAGTGGGGGGGATGTGTGAGTGAGGGGGGTGCAGAATATAGTCTTCTTGTTGGGCTTTGTCTTGCATTAATTCTTCTTATTTTGAAGGGGGAGGGCACTCAGATACCATGGTGACACGTGCCTGATTAGAACCTAGGGATGCTGCACATGTAAAACTGCATTTGATGAGGTGGTTTCTGATGGAAATGTAAGATGTGATACTTCGCATGCACTAAATGTGGCACCAGACATCATGATAGCTAGATAGATTTAAACTAGGCAGGATAATGTGCTTGAGAATATATGGTAGGGAAATGTTCCTGCATTGCCTCTTTTCCATCTCCGACTCTATGATCTGGCTCTATGCAAATGAACTTTCCTATTTATTGTACGTTGTTCTTTCTCTCAAGCTGAGTGCACCATCGTAGGTGACTCTCATTTCACAACGTTTGATGGTCGTCATTATACCTTTCTTGGGATTTGTCAGTATATTCTGGTAAAAGGCACTGGGAAAGACAAATTCACAATCACTTTACAGAAAGCTCCATGTGATCAGGTAAGGTCACACTTGAATTTGAGATGATAAATGGGTACCTAAAAATTTCAGGTAATCTTACATAGCCAGCCAATGTAAATTAACCAGGCAAGCTTAGTAGTAATAATGTCAGAAATAAAATTGGAACAGTTTTGCTGCTTTTTACATTGATGAGCTAAATATAGTTTGAGCATGATCTGTGTTTTATTTCAATTACCACTATTGCCCTTTGTAAAATTAATTGCTGCCTTTCTGGAATTAAGTCAACAGACCTTTTCATTCATGCATGATTACACAGGTATCTACATATTTGGTTACAGCCTGAGCCAGGTGTCTTAGACAGAAAAACACTCTTACTGACAGGACTGATAGGTTTAATATACTGCCAGCTAGGTAAGAGAGATTTCTTAGCAGTCTGAGACACTTATTTGTTAATTTATAGGATATCACATTCCTTGGAACAGTATGTTTAAGAAGTTCACAAAAATATTAAAACGTTAACTGCCATCCATATCAGTTTGTGGCTGAAGAGTTCAGGATATGTTATTGGTCCAAGTTAACAGCAACCTTAACTTTTAATTTCATTCGTTTTGAAAAAGTTAAATACTTGACATTATTTTAACATACCTTTGGATGAACAAACTGAAATTTAATTCAGTGTTAGTAAAACACTCTTTGTATCTTTCTGTCTGTTGATAAAATTCATTTTCACTCAGAACCTCGACTGTGGCTGCATCCAGTCTGTAACACTAGTTCTTGAAGATGATATGAGTAAACAAGTGACTCTTACCAGGGATGGTGAAGTCCAAACTGGCCCTAGCCAGGGTTTTAACTTTAATGGTAAGAAAAACATGGATTAGAGTTCACATTCTTGCCTTCATATTTTCTAATGCTTTTTATTATACTTTTGTACAAGTAAATAATTCCTTGGCAGGCCCAAACCATGAAAGGTGCTAAGTACTGTTAAAAGACTTAACCTTCTTAATTTTAATAACCTATGGAATGCTGCGTATACTCTAGAAATACTTTATGTAGGGGTGGGGAATCCCTGTGTTATACTTCCAAGGACACCTACAGATGTCAACCATTCTGATTTTTTTGCCGGATCGTCCTGATGCTAAAGGGATGGTCCTACTTATTCTTGGAACATGTTGCAAGCCAAAATGCAAACGAAGCACAACTTGGTTTAATGGCATCTGCATGGTTTGAGAGCTAAGATTGCATGAGTCTTGACTCTGATACTGATTTGCTGTGTGACTTTGGGAAAGTTAGTTCACCTTTTTGTCTCATTTCCCTCACTTTTAAAACTGTGAAATATTTACCTGCTTCAGAGTGTTGGTTTGAGGATTAACGAGTGAGAGTCTAAGGTTGAAACTAGCATCTGATTATGTCCACTTCTCAGACAAACTTGTTAAGATGTTTGTGAATATGTATAAGTGAGTTAGTTGCAGGTCTGGACTTACCATGAGGCGAACTTAGGCAGCCGCCTCAGGTGCCAGACTGTTGGGGGGGTGGGGGGCGCCACTAGGACCCAGAGTGTAGAAAATTGTGTCTGCTGCTGGTGCATATGTATTCTCTCTGCTCTAGATGCACAGAGATGGTGGAGTGCTGTGCTGGAGGAAGAAGGGCACAAGAGACATAACAGGCAGGCAGGAGAAAAGGTGAGAGGGAATAACAGAAAGCAGCAGGAGCTGCAGGGAGAGAAAGGAAGAGAAGGAGCCTCTTATGTACCTCTCTAGCACCCCCAGGAGCCTGGACTGATTAACACCAGCTTCTCAGGGAGCTTCCTGTTTCCTGCTGCTACCCTGAACCCACTTGAGGAGAACAGGCAGTCAACTGAAGTAGTAGGAGCCAGTTAGGTCCTTAAGACGCTGATATTTTCCCTCACTCAGGCCCTGCTACCAGCCTGCTTATTTGTCCCCTTCAACTGAGTGTTGAGAGCCATTATAGCTGGCACAGAACAGCAGTCATGAGTGAAAGACGAAAACGCCCCCTGGGGCAGCATTCAGAAAAAGAAAGCAAGCAAAGGAAGCTTTTCTATCTAAGCCGGAAGGAGCTCTCCTGAGATATATAGACACAAATGTTCACGGTGGGCCTTCCGGCCCCAGTGAGGATGTGAGTGGTGAGGAGATGCCTGATCTTCCAGTTAGTCAGAGTGCAGGTGACCTGGCAGCTACTGCAGCATCCATATCTCCATCTCAAATGGATGTAACTATGCACATTCCTGAAGAAAAGTGTAGATCAAAGAAGAGTGTGGTGGAGGAGCAAGAAACAAGCTGCTGCTCAGTTTAGTTCCTTAAGTCTAAATGATCCAGGACTGCGGATCCACTTGAGCAGTAGCCTGAGGGACTTCCTTGTACTGCATGGGCCACAGCAAGTGAAAAACTTCATGTTCCCCCAAAACAATGAAAATAGAAGTTTCCATCCAACACATTATTGGCGTGAAATCCCCAATGGTGACAAAGTGGAGAGGCCATGGATTATGTACTCAAAAACCCAGAATGCTGCATACTGTTTTTGTTGCAAACTCTTCCAGTCTAATGTTCCAGCCACATTGGGTTCTACAGGAACAAAGGACTGGAAAAATCTGGCATGCCATGAGAAAGCAGCAAATCACCAGAGAGCATTCCATAGGTGGAAAGAGCTTGAGATGAGACTAAGGTTAAAGGCCACCATAGATGATCAGCATCAAGAGAAGATTGCACCAGAGTCTCTTTACTGGCAAAATGTTCTGAAAAGGCTCATTGCCATTGTGAGAATGCTTGCTACCCAAAACCTAGCACTGCATGGCACTTCAGATCAGCTGTATGTGCCAAACAATGGAAACTTCCTTAAAATTGTGGAGCTGATGGCTGAGTTTGATGCTGTACTCCAGGAGCATCTAAGAAGAGTCACCACCCAAGAAATGTACACACACCACTACTTTGGAAAAACAATTCAAAATGAGATCATACGAGGTACTGGCAACAAAAGTCAAACAGAAGATTGTGGCAGATCTGAAGTCAGCAAGATTTTCCTCTGTTATTCTGGACTGCACACCTGAAATCAGCCATACAGAACCAATGACTTTAATGGTGCGTTTTGTAACAATAGAACCTAGTGAAAATGTCCCTGCTATGGTGACTGTCAGAGAGTATTTTCTAGAATTTATTGACATTGATGATACTATAGGAGCTTGTATGACAAATGTGCTTCTTAAAAAGCTGGAAGATATGGGAATTGTGATAGCTGACATGAGAGGTCAGGGCTACGATAATGGTGCCAACATGAGAGGAAAGAACAGACGAGTGCAGACACGGATCCGAGAGTTAAACCCTTGAGCTTTTTTTGTCCCGTACAGTTCTCATTCATTGAACTTGGTGGTCAGTTATGCAGCATCAGCTTCTCTTGAGGCTGCTGAATTTTTTAATGTAATTCAAAGCATCTATGTATTTTTCTCTGCATCAACTCATCGATGGCAAATTTTGAAGCAACATCGGGGAGCATCCTCTCTGACATTGAAACCACTGAGTGCCACATGATGGGAAAGTCGAGTGGAGGCGATAAAGTCTATCAAACACCAAATTGGGAAGATAGACGATGCCATATTTGCCATTATGGAGGATAATGCTATGACAGGAACTGTTCGTGGGGGAACAGTGGCAGAAGGAAATGGAATCACCAGAAACATACATAACTTCAAATTTCTGTGTGGCTTAGTGTTATGGCATGACATACCGTTTGAAATAAATGTTGTAAGCAAGAGACTCCGAGGTGTTGACCTTGATATATCTGGAGCAATGGAACAACTGGACAAAGCAAAGTCATACCTACTGTCTGACCGGTCAGATGAGGGATTTCAAAACGTTCTGAAGACTGCACAGAAGTTGGCAGAGGAACTTCACACTGAAGCTATTTTCCCACCCATTCAAGAATACAAGAGTCACCGAAGAAGAAGACATTTTGATTACGAGGCACGGGATAATCTCATAAGAGACCCCAAGCAACAATTCAAAGTTGAATTCTTTAACCAGGTGCTAGATTGTGCAATACAGTCAGTTGAAGAATGTTTCATGCAGCTCAAGGAACACAGCAGTATATTTGGGATGTTGTATGATATTCCCAAACTCCTCACTATACCTGAAGAAGACCCACACCAGCAATGCAGGGCACTAGAGACAGTGTTGACACATGATGACATGCGCGATATTGATGCGAGTGATTTAGGTGATGAACCGAAAGCCCTTTCAAGATACATTTCAGCAGGATCAACTCCAAAGGCTGTTCTGGAATATATGTGCACAAATAAGATGACCACCCTCTTTCCAAATGCTTTTGTTGCTCTGTGCATACTTCTAACACTTCCTGTAACAGTTGTCAGTGGAGAACACAGCTTCTCCAAGCTGAAGTTAATAAAAACACATCTATGCTCCACAATGACACAGGAGAGGCTGGTCGGCCTTGCAACCATCTCAATAGAGCACGAGCTGGCCCAGACTGTGGACCTTCAGGAAGCAGTTCAAATCTTTGCAACCAAGAAGGCACAGAAAGCACCACTTTGATTATTCAAACAGATAAAAATGCCAGTGTTTACTATGCAGACAAGAAAAGTTACATTTGCTATTCAAGTGTTTGAAAGTTAAGTGTTACTTAAAATTTTTGAACAAGGCATTTTAAGTTGTTAGTTCTCCTTTATTGGGGTAGGTAGCAGAGCAGTACCATGAGAGGAGTAGAACAGGAAGAAGGCAGAATTGCCTTTCAAAGTTTTGGCCCAAGCATGGAGGCATCATTTGAGCTTCCTGCCTCAGGTGCCAAAATGTTGTGAGCAGCCCTGGTTAGTTGGTTTGGGAGGAAACCCCTCAGCAGAATATTTTAATTATCAAAGACAAATATATGAGGCAAAGAATTCAAAAGTTAAGATGACACTTAAAAAAACTCACCCCAAAACATTAAAGCTTAAGCACAGGAAAGTTTGGGAATGTAGTTAAGAAGCTCTACCTTTTTAGCCTCACTACCTTGTGGAACATCCTTGTAAGGTACATATTTGTCTATGACAAATATCTTGGTATTACAGCTAGGACATGTTATTAAACCCTGGATAACTGGGTGTTTTGGCTATCAGTTAGGAACAGTTTAAAGTCTTATACACTGAAGTGTTTTGTCTGAAGCTGCAGGCATCTTAAACCATTTTCACTGCAGTTATACAAAAGAGTATTATGTAAATTAGCTGCAAAGGTATACTGGGTTTAAGATGTCTGCAGCTGCACGGAACCCAACCACTATGGATGATAATTGGCTACAATGATTGTAAAATTTCCATTGCCCACTATAAGGGTTTTATTAGGAAGGTGGACTTGGTGCTGGATAGGGCTTTTGTTTGTATATCAAATGTAGTAATAATAATTAATAATAAAGTTATTAGGTAGCATATTCTATATAAAGACTGCAATGCACCTTACAGACCTCTGTTAATTAACCTCACAATGCCCCTGTGAGTCAAGAAAGTTGTACTATTCCCATTTTGCAGATGAGAAAGCTGAGGTACAGAGATTGAGTGATTTGCCCAAAGTCACACAGGGAGTCTTTGTCAGATCTGGAATAGATCCATATTCTCCCTTGACTCCGTCCTCAATGGAACTGTCGTTCATCTCACCAGAGGCATGATGTTGTTGTTGCTGTCTTGTCAAAGAAGGGAGAATAGTCTCTGGTCTAGTAGCCGACGCGTACAGGAAGGTGATGCATACATTTTTATGCTGATTATGGTACACTGTAGTTGTGGCATCTGGTTCATTTTGTCAATGTTGAAGATGTGTGTCACAGGGTTTGGGGGTTGTGTCACCATGTGCTCTGCAGCCCTGGGTGTTTTAAAATGTTTTGCTGCTGTAGCTTCCAGTCTGGAATGCTCACAGCTAGCCTACAAACATGCAAGTCACACCCTGAGAGAGAGAGAAAGAGAGAGAGAGAGAGTGTGTGTGTGCTAGACAGCCCTGGTTCAGCACTGTCTGACCCCAGCAGTCTGTCTGCCTTCCACCAGCCTGGAGTACAACCAGCAAGGTGACCCCAATGCACTCCCATTCCTGAATTTCTCCAAAGCCATGTGCCCTGAAGTGTCCAGCCCTCTCCTGGACAACTCAGAGAAATAATAAGGTTTGTTTGGTCCTTTAAAGAGACAAAAGCACATTAAATCTTATTAACTTCACTGGGATAAATATACCCTTCCCTGCAAACACAACGCTGAGTAGGTTTATAATAAAAATAAAACTTTTAGTAACAATAGGACATAGGTTAAGTGATACCAACTAAAAGAAATAAATTTAGAAATGGTTACAAGCAAATCAAAGTGAAAACACACATCTAGAAGTTTAAAACCTAATCTAGCAAGGTACAGGCTTTGTTCAAGATGATTTTTCTCACCAGTCTTCCTTCTTCCCAGCCCTGGCTGACTTTCCCCAAGTCATGATCTTCCACAGAAGTACAAGATGCTGACTTCCTATGTCTTCCTAGGTGAAAGATCTCTGCCTAAGCAGGTTTCTCACCTATATTCAGATCCCAGAGACTTTAACCCTCCCCCCTTTGGTTGAAGGACCCATCTCTCTCAGCTTGCAAGAGCTCTGTCACCTTGTCTGTCTAGTGGTGAATGCCAGAGACGGCATCTGTCTTTGCTTATATCTTCCAAAATTCAATGACCTTGTTCAAAGAGGCGGGGTGACCTCGTGCTGTTCTTTCCTTCTTGTGGTCTTCCCCTCCCCTGTAAGTAAATGGGGTTTCAATTGTTTTGATTCCACCATATTTAATTTATATAGGAGACAAGTGAATAGCTGCGACGTCCCCTCCTGTCTGGGAGAGGCATGTTTCTCCCTTTGTTTGGACATTGGCTGTAAAGCTTAATACCAATGAGTATCCATAATTCCTTATATGGTGTCAATATATACATTTTACAATGCTATTAATCAGTAGTGTGTCATAGGCTTTCATAAAAGACTTCACTCGATACACTTATAATACTGTAATATCGTATACAATCTGTTGATTCAATTGCTTATCACTTAAGGTTCAGGCCCCCTGTCTTTATATCCCAGATAAAGTTTCTCTTTTCTGCTGGAAGCTATCTCCTCCCCCCGCTTAATAGTTTAGTTTAACTAATATGTAAATAGGCCTTCCTTGTCTCTGCCTGACAACGGGGCTGGTCAGAGAAGCAAATACACATTTGTTTGTCTAGGGCAGACTTGTTTGCCATCTCCACCTGACATGCCTGGTTTAAACAGCATATATCCATAACTCTTAACGCACAAGAATATTAATGATCAGTGAGTTATTAATTTTCCAATGGCAAATTACATGACACCTTTTAGATACCGATTATAACCATAGTGAGTTGGGTGTAGTGAGTTTGTCAGGCCTGAGAAGAGTTGCTGACACAGAGTAGTGAACCACATTTGGGCCTGTCACAGTGTGGTACCCGGTTGTCTCCATTAGTTTGGGTGCAGGGTGGGCAGGGATATTTGGAGTGTTCTGAGGTTGTGTATGGTCCATTAATTGCATTTCTATACTTTTCAAAGTTTTTGTGGTTTTTTTTTAAAGTTGAAACATTTAAAACCATAGGGCTGGTTTCTGTATGGAAATATTTCAACCAAGGAAAAATGATTTACTTTTTTTTTTTCTGTTATGTGCAGGGGACATTGAAATTCGGAACCTGTCTTCTTTGTTTGTGCAGCTGAAAACTAGATTTGGTTTAAAGATTCAATTTGCTAAAGATGGGCAGAGACTTTATATACAAGTCAATACCAGCTGGAAAAGAAGAACACTAGGTCTATGTGGAACTTTTAATGGGAACTTAAGAGATGATTTTCTGTAAGTTTGTTTTATATATGTCTAGATTGAATTTAATAACAGGTGAAATATTCAGATAAATCTAACCAGCTGACACGGTCATTTCACTAACACTTTCATATTCTGGTAAACCAATCAGTCAAAAAACACTTGAGTTTAATTACAAGAATCTCAGCTACTTTCTTTCTTTAACATTAAATTGGTTTACTCAGTACCCTGTGCAGTGGTTATTTCTCTGTCAAGTTCTTAAGAATCAAGGTGTTTGTGCTTTTCCTGCCCCAAAGGTGAGATGCATCAGTTTTACAGAGAGACAGTGTTGTCTGGTGAGTTGAGAAGGGGCCTGGAAGTCAGGATTCCTGATGTGAAATTCTGCCCTATTGAAGTCAATGGCAAAACTCCCTTTGACTTCAGTGGGATGAGGATTTCACCTCTGGACTCTATTATGTGTAAAATAGTGACTATAACTTACCTACTTCACAGTGAAATTGCTTAACTCACTAATGTCTGCAAAGTGTTTTGAGATGCTTGGATGCAAGACAATATATAAATGTAAATGATTATTTATGACAGTGCAATCATAGAAAAATGAACAACTAGAGATTTATCTAATAATATACAGAATACATCTCATATATAGAATATAGCTATATTGTGTTTCTCTATTTTGTATTAAAAATGTAGGCTCTGAATTGATCAAGGGATTGTTTTAGTCTGTTACATCTTGTCTGTGATTTGAATTGGCAGAGGTCAGATCTATGTCTGCCAAGATCATGATTGCACTGTTATATTTGCCAGAGAGCATATTAGTTAACATATTTATCATTAGTCAAACAGAAAAAATCCATTGAGCAGCTTGGTTGAGTCTAGCAGCATCTTTATTCTCTCTACTAGATTTAGTGGCAGCACTCTATAGGAATTACTACAGGGGTTTCAGAGGACAGAGAGATGATTCATTCCCAAGCTGAGTAAAAGCAAATATTTAACAGAAGGCAGGTTTTGTATCATTGTTTAACTCCTTGGCGCCGGAGGTCAGATTTCCTTCCATGAAGTCCACTGCTGGCGACGGATTTACTGGGAAACACCAGCACAAAAGGATTAACGATTTCTTTATTTCTTGGTTGTATTGGGGTTGCAGCACCAGGAAGGTAGTGAGAAGTACAGTTGATGGGATCTTGAGTCATTTCATGGCTCTCTGTTGGGGGGATGAAGTTGGCATACTTTTACCAATAAATAAGTTTCACTTTTTAGCAGATTCGCTTTTTTTTGGTAAAACGTTTTGTTTTCTTTTGATTTATGGACTGAATAGGGTTTTTTTTAACAAAGGAAAGCAGCCTTTCTGTGACCAGGCTGATTTATCTCGATCATGACATGGCAAGAAACTACTCTGTAAATCACTGTATGCCATCCTCCTTTTTAAGAAAGATTAACATGTCATTTGTATATTGAACCATTTTATTCCTGGTATTTCCAGGTAGCTCCTTTGCATCCAAACACATCAGCACAGGGCATCAGAGCCAGGAAAAAATACAGTATCCAATACTGTTACCATCCTCCCTTGATTTCCAAACATTATTATTACTTGATTTTTTTCCTTAAATTTTATTAGGATTGGCACAACTTTAAACTAGAAGAATCCCTTAATCACAAAGGATACTCTTTCCTCTTCCCTTCAGTTCTACTTCTCTACCTTCCTGAAAATCCTTCCAACTCTATCACAATTCTTTATATAAAGTGTATTTGTTTGACATATTGAATACAAAATTAAAACATCATTGAGAATTGGCTATTTGTCAGCTTTTTTGATGCTTCACTAAACATGTGAGTTTTAGCAATGGCCAAATTCTGCTCTCCCTCATGGCTCATCCAACTCCATGACTGTACTTGCTTGGGGTGGAAGTGAGGTCAGACATTTCTGCATCAGTAAAATATTAGCTGAAGCTGAACCTGACTTTTATTATACTTTTTTGAAAGCTAAAAGATGTGGAGACTGCTTTTTTGAATGGTGAATTTGCTTACGTGTTTGAGGTTCTTTGACTTGCTGAGCCTAACCCATGTGGCCAGTAGAGACAGCAGGACTCATTCTGATTCATTTTCTCAGAGGAAGCAGCTTAAGTTTATCTTCATATCCACAACAACAGCTAGTGTCTATTACTTATGTCAGGGCTTGGGCCCTAGGGTTACCTTGGCTATCACAGGCAAGAGGTAATGGGCCACGTGACTGCTCCAGCAACTTATGAGCTGATGAGCGAAACTTTTATTTTAAAAAGTTAATGCCTTTGATATGTTGTGAAAAAGAGCATTACACATTTTATACTTAGACCTGAACCTTGGCCTTCCTTTTTAGACCATTTTTTTACAAAGTGATTTGATTTGCATTTAATAATAAAATTGGTCAATTATGCAATGTTTTTCTTTTTAAAGACAGGCACAAACATAAACAAATTCCCATTGAAATCCACTATAGTGTGCTTTAAGGGTAGATTTTTTTAACAGCTCTCCATTTTGTCATCACTTGTCTCCCTTGATGTCAATAATAAAGCTGACTTCAAAGGGAAGCAGGCCAACACTGAATACTTTTGAAAATCCCGCCCTAAATTTATATTCCATACTCTCAAATTGTCATTCTTTTTGCACTGTGTTGGATTTTTCTGGTTCAAAATCCATATATTGGATGCAGTGTGGCTCAGTGGATAGAGCAGGTCTTAGGAGACTTTAGTTCTATTCCCAGGCCTGCCACTGGCCTGTGAGGTGATCTTGGGCAAGTCACTTCACCTCTCTCTCTGTGCCTCGGTTTCACCATTTGTAAAGTGGGGATAATGCTACTGCCCTCCTTTTGTAATGTACTTGGAGATGTACTGATGAAAAGTGCTAAATAAGAGTTAGGAGTTGTTGTTATTTGCTGGGGCAAGCCTGACAAATGGAGACCAGGGCCGCCCAGAGGATTCAGGGGGCCTGGGGTCTTCGGCGGTTGGTCCCGGGGCGGAAGGACCCCCCGCCGCCGAATTGCCCCCCGAAGACCCGGAGCGGAAGAAGCTCCGGGGTCCCGGGCCCCACGAGAGTTTTCCGGAGCCCCCGGAGTGAGTGAAGGACCCCGTTCCAGGGGCCCCGAAAAACTCTTGTGGGGGCCCCTGCGGGGCCCCGGGCCTGGGGCAAATTGCCCCACTTTCCCCCCCCTCTGGGCGGCCCTGATGGAGACAGGAAACCCGAAAGAGCATTCATCTCTCATATTTGTTTTCTTGGTTTTAATGATTTTTTAAAAATGTATTATGAATGCTCTGTTCTTCTCTATTGTGACTGAGCAAATACCCTGGCTCCGGGATGCTACTTCTGTTTCTAGAATCTATACAAATTTCCAATTTCCAGGTAAGTACCTAACTTACAGAAGTTTGACATTTATCTGAAAACAGAAATGTGTGTCGACTCTGAAGTGACTCTGAGTCTGCATCTCTCTGGCCCTTTGCAGCATCACCATCTTGAATTCTATGGCAAGATGACAGTGAGGGGTCTGATTTTGCAGATGTTCCCAAGTGATTTAGAGCCACAAAGTCCATTTGGGAATTGGTGTCCCTAAGTCGCTGAGGCAGTTTTGAAAATCACTCCTGAGGTGAACAAGGACATAGTCAACAACAGTTTCTGTGAAATTAGTGGAACTGATTTAAGAATGTTCTAAAGAATTTATAAGACAGAGTTGGTAAAGATGTTATAAAATGTTGGTAATAATGCAAAGAACACTGGACAGGCCTTGATTAAGTATACTTAACTTTCCAAAATGTTTCTGTATCTATACCACACTGAATAGCTGTTACACTTTCAAAGGTAGTATCTGCCAGTTGTAAAGGAAAATGTTTTCATGAGAGTTCTGTTCATTTTCATTCCTTTATAAAGATTCTGAAACAAAATGCAGTGACAGGGTTCCGCTGTGGTGTGGAAACAATGGATGTGCAAGAGAGATCTGAACAAATGCAAAGACATTATTAATAACTAGTCTATGTGAGAAGCCCTTCTACCAGGCAATGCTGATCTTTTGCTTTATCTTTCCTTCTCCCTTCAGTTCTCCAGCAGGGATGATTGAAGGAACCCCTCAGCTTCATGCCAATGCATGGAAGGTTTCCTCAGCTTGTTTTGCGCCTGTCAACATTCCTGTGGTTGATCCTTGCAACATTAATCAACAAAATGGTACGGTCTCACTTTTGGAATTTTGATTTATCTTAACCACATTACTAGATCAGGATTGTATTTATTTATTTATTTATTTAGAGAGAGAGAGAGAGAGATCTCATAGAACTGGAAGGGACCCCGAATGAGTCCAGCCCCTTGCCTTCACTAGCAGGACCAAGTACTGATTTTGCCCCAGATCCCTAAGTGGTCCCCTCAAGGATTGAGCTCATAACCCTGGGTTTAGCAGGCCAATGCTCAAACCACTGAGCGATCCCTCCCCCTATTTTGTTCTCTCTATGATGCCTGAGCTTCATTTATCAGAGGGGTAGCCGTGTTAATCTGGATCTGTAAAAAGCAACAGAGGGTCCTGTCGCACCTTTAAGATTAACAGATGTATTGGAGCATAAGCTTTCGTGGGTGAATGCCCACTTCATCAGACGCATGAGCTTCATTGTTACTTACAGATTATCTGTGGGTATTAGTTTAACTTCAGTTTTAGACACACACTGATTTTTTATTTTGCAAACCCTTTCCTTTGGTGTGTTTAATGTCCTTAATATACAAACTGAAATAACTGTTGGCAAATGCAAAGGTGATTACTTAGTTTTAGATGTGCTTATGTTTCCTTTTAAGAAATATAAACATGTTTTGCAGATTTGAAGGCTGTTAGGTCTCCTCTCTGATATGCATGTGTAGCTCACAGTGATTGTGCCTTATCCCCAGATATAATTTGGATTTAGTATTTTTAATGTTTTTGGGTATAATCTTCAAGTCCTTAATCAGGCCTTACCTCCACTGAAGCCAATGGGATTGAATCCTGACTAAAGACTACAGGACTGAGCCCAGAATAATCTTTAACTTTTAGGAAGCTAGTGAATCCCAAGGAGTTTTATATCTTCAGGGCTGGGCAGTTTTCTAGAATGCTGTGGTTGTCTGTGGCCAATGCAAGGGGGCCACTTTAGGACTTTTGTGTAGAGTCATCTCCCCAATTCCCCCCAAGATATACCCTCTTCCTTCCTCTGGCCTGCCTGAAAGATTGCCCTGCCTCCCTCTGCTGTCAAGTTCCGCCCCCTGTTTCATACAGGAAAGCAGCATGGGTAGATGATGCAGAGCAGCAGTGGTGGATGGCGATGGATGTCATCTCATATAGCACACAGAAGGACAGCGGTGTTGATGTGGCTGGCTGGGGAGGTGGTAGCTGGAAAACCGGAAGTTTGTTATCAGAGAGCTGAGCCTTCCTGGCAGCTCCAGGAGAGACTACAGGAGGGCTGGCTCAGGGAGAGGTGTGGTTGGTGGCAAGAGATAGCAAAATCTGAGTTTGCTCTGCTCTTGTCCTTTGAACTCAAATATAAAGGCTAAGTATGGTCATCTTTAGGAATCCAAGGATCAAAGTACTGTAGAAGAGGTCCAAGTGCAGCAATAAGCCACATGTGGCCCTTCAGCATTCCTATGGTGGGCTGGCATAGGTATCAGCCATGCAGTTGGAATGGTCATCTGTGGCAGCTATTCCATCATGTAATAGCCAAGCATTCAGTCACCTGCTTCTCAGGGTTGGAAGGGACCTTAGGAGGTCATCTAGTCCAACCCCCTGCTCAAAGCAGGACTAATCCCCAGACAGACTTTTGCCCCAGATCCCTAAATGGCCCCCTCAAGGATTGAGCTCACAACCCTGGGCTTAGCAGGCCAATGCTCAAGCCACTGAGCTATCCCTCCCCCCTCTGCTTCTTTTAATGCCAGGAGATAAAATGAACAAAAGCATGAAATGGGCTCAGCACCAAAGCAGAAATAATGGAGTATTTTGTGCCAGATAAGAATTTCAGTGGGCAGGCTAGCAAAAAGTCAGTAACTCCAGGAAGCACTATGTGGCGCGTGGAGAGAGCAGTAGGCTTGAGATGCTTGGGTCCCAAAACTCCAATTTGTAATAACTGCCCAGCCTGCGTGCCAAGAAAAGTTTGGCCATTGCAAACCCCCCAAATTCTCAATGACTTTCCTTATGCTTTTGAAATGTATTCTGTTTCCATTTACATGTTTCCTTCACCTCAATATAGATTTTTATTTAGTTACATATTTTTATTGAAGCAAAGTTCATTGCTGAAATATTTATGTCCGTTACAAAGAACAGTATTTTATGGAACTACTTTATGTAGAAGCTTTTATTGCACAGTTGTATGAATTGGTGTGTTGTTGATACTCTTTGCTATTTATTTTTGATTGATATATTATCATGGGTACTGCCAAAAAAGAAAATGTTGCCTTCCCTTAGTTGGCTATGCATCCCACTGTGATATCATCAATCAAGAACTTTTTGCTCCATGTCACCCATACATCAGTCCAGGATTATACTACCAGCTGTGCCGGTTTGATGCCTGTAAATGTGGAAGCAGCTGTTTGTGTAATGCACTTGCACACTATGCCTATATCTGTAGCAAGCATGGAATTGCTATTGATTTCAGATCTCAAGTTTCATACTGTGGTGAGTAACATTTGCAAAAGAAGAATAGTTTTAGAAATGGGGAATGATGAGAAATTCTTTGAAACAGAATAAATCTTTGCTTTGCATCAGAAGCGAGAATTCTGCTTTGGGATGTTCAAATATGAACATAATACACAGTAGATGCAGCTGCAGTGCTGAGGGTGTCATTTTTTGGAAGGAGGGGAAAGCGGTCACAGTGTGATTTGGAAGGTAGAGCAGGGACTTGAATCCAGATCTTTCAAATCGTTAGCTAATGCCCTAACCACTGCATCATTCTTCCTCTCCCCTAGAAACTGAGTTACTAGAAATATATCGAATATACTTTGAAACACACATACTTTTTCAAGGGTTTTTCTTAACAAAAAGGCATCTTGAATTTAATCATTTAAAGCCTCAAAATGGGTGAAGCCAAGCAGGGCCGGCTCTAACTTTTTTGCTGCCCCAAGCAGCAAAAAAAAGCGCCGCCCCCCCCCGAGCGCCGCGCCCGGCGCCGCCCCCCTGCCAAGCGTCGCGCTGCACCACCCCCCTGAGCGCCGCGCCCCACGCCGCCCCCCTTCCGAGCGCCACGCCGCCGGAACCCCCCCGAGCGCCGCGCCCCGCGCCGCCGCACCGTCGGAGTGCCCCCCCCGCGGAATGCCGCGCCGCACTGCCCCCTGCCACCCCAAGATTGGCCGCCCCTTACCAGGCGCCGTCCCAAGCATGTGCTTGGTTGCCTGGTGCCTGGAGCCGGCCCTGAAGCCAAGAAATTTCTAACACACTTGAAATCAGAGTTGGCCTCAGGTTTAGCTGAGAATCACATGACTAAACCCCAGCACATCTCTGTGGCAATTTGGGACAGTACATCTTACTGTGTTAGCTCACACTGTCATGAATGTCAGTGTATTTATTGCAACTTCATAAGATGATGATGTTTCCTCCCTAGCTCTAGTGTGCCGAAGTGGTATGCTGTATCATCGGTGCTCTTCTTTTTGCAAACACTCCTGTTCTTCCCTTTCTGCCCCGCATGTGTGTAATGATGACTGTGCTGAAGGATGCAATTGTCCTGATGGCAAATACTTTGAAGAATCAATCAACTTTTGTGTGCCAATGTAAGTTATATTACATTGTTTTGAATATACCGTGTTTGTCGCTTTGCAGCAACCCTTTAAAATCGAACTCTTTCTTGCATCTCATTTTGTGTTCCCCTTTCTCCACCACTGTTACTATACCAGTTATTGGCTGATAGTGTAATTGGTGACTGATGGCCAACAAGACAAGTGATTTACTGATTCAGTATCAGAAAATGTAAAGTAATGCACATTTGAGGGAAACATTTAAACTACTCGTACACTTTACAAGATTTTAAATTCATGATATCGGCTCAAGGAAGAGACCTCAGAGTCACTGTAGACAGCTCATTGAAGATCTCTGTTCAATGCACAGCAGCAGTCAAAAAAAGCTAACAAAATGTTAGGATACATAAGGAAAGGGATAGCAAATAATATAAAACTATCATAATGCCCTTATATAAATCAATGGTGCAGCCTCTCCTGGAATACTGTTTGCAGTACTGGTCACCCAGTCTTAAAAAAAGATATTGCAGATCTGTAGGTGGTTCAGAGAAGAGTGATGAGAATGTACACGGTCATGTAAAAATTCTCATATGAAGAGAGATTGAAAAGATTGTGATTGTTTACTGTAGAAAGGAGACAAATGAGAGGTGACATGATAGAGGTGTATCAAATAACAGAGAAGGTGGATCTTTAACTTCTGTTCTCCATTACACATAACAGAAGCCCAAGCAGACATTCAATTGAATTATAAGGTGGGAAGTTCACAATGAAAAAAGGAAATAGCTTTTTACACAGCATGTAATTAACTGTGGAACTCATTGCCACAGGAAGTCATTGAGGCCAAGAACTTAATAAGATTTAAAAAAAGGACTGGATGTTTATATGGTTATCAAGAATATCCAGAGTTGTTACAATTAATGACAATAACTATTTTGGAAAGGATAGCAAACCTCATTTTTCATGGTTTTAGCCAGTCTCTAGCTATTAGAAATCAATGTGGGAAGCTGATTACCCCACAGCTACTTTCTGCGGGGTTCTTATCCCGTCTTCTGAAGTGTCTCGTTCTGGCCAGTGTCTGACAGGATACTACACCAGATGAAACTCGGGTCTGATTCAGTATGGCAATTCCTATGTTCCTAAATCAGGCTGCATCCTGCCATACTCAACCTGTAACCAGGAAGAAAAGCTGCTTTCTGTGAGGCTGCAACACACAGAAACAGCAAATAAGTAATTTGAAGATCATTACAGGATATGAGTGAAATCCTGGCCCAATTGAAGTCAATGGCAAAATACCCATTGACTTCAATAGGGCCAGCATTTCACCCTTTAAGTCTTGCCTTAGGTTAAGCTTGCACTGTAAATATAAATAAGCAGATAAATTGGAGAATTAAACTGCGTGTTTATCCTACTTAGTTAGGATTTGAAGAGTAAATATCCTTATAGCCTATTTCATATAGTTTTTATACCCATATGCATAAGCTTTGTTTTCACAGATCTAGCTGTCGTTGCTATTACAAAGGCAGAAGTTTCCAGCCTGCGGAAATCCTGCCCACACCGTCAGGCTCTTGGTAGGTTTTGGTATTAAGTGTTTAATCTTTGACTCACTCAGGCCCTGATCCTGCTAGTAGAAATGTATGAGCAGACCCCTATGCCTGTGTGGTTCTTAATTCAGAATCAGGGCCTAACTGCTTCAAGATCCATGTTTATGTCATATATTGGAAAAGGAAATCTTGAAAGAAACTGGATTTAATACATTCTTAACAAAGAATTCTTAAACCCGAAGAAACAACTCATCCTACCACCACTCAATATTCCCCACTTGCCCCAACCTCACCATGCCCCATTGCCCCCTACTTGCCACAATCCATATCACCCTGCAGTCCCCCAACACTCCTCACTCACCCCACAGCCAACCAACAACTCAACCCCACCCTTCTCCTCTGGGATTTTCCTAGCCACTCAAAGTTGCCCTTCCTTCCCCTCCCCTCCACTCCTCTCCCCCATGGCTCAGCCCTCCACTCCCATCCTGGGCTAGGGTGGCTCCTCCTGATCCTGGCTGTCCAGCTCCAGTCACTTCACAGTCACTCGGCCCCACTCTGCTCAGGTTTGATTGGCTGTCAAAGTTCAGTAAGTGTTGAGAGACACAGGGTTTCAGGGCTGATCAGTTGGGTGTGGTGCTCAGAGAGGTGGCCACGCCAAACTTCAGTGAGTAGGGTGTGATCCACCGCACTAGGCTGCAGTGCTGCTGAGCTTTGGCTCTGTCATGACAGAGATGTGGCTCGGCCAAATTTGAGCAAGTGGTGTTGCATTGTTGTGCCAATTAGTCCCCCCCCCCCCCCCGTTGCCCCAGTTGTCTCATGTTTTTTCCCTGAGATGGGGACTTATGCAAGTGCACATGGGTTAATCTGGGCCTGTATCACATTACCAATACCCTGAGACACCCAGTTCCTGAATCAATATAAATAATAGGGTTACCATACGT